ACTTTAAATTGCTGAGAAACTTTGAAAAATGTGGAAGCATGTTATTAATAAACAAAAATATATGTTTTCCATCCTTATGAGGTAAATCATATTTGCTGGTTTATAATACATCGCAAATTCCACCTACCTAATATTTTTTCTACTGGGTGGTCCTGAACTAAAACAATGTAAACAACGAGACTCTAGTTTTTCATTCTCATCATAACTTCTTTGTTGAAGCCGAAGCCACAAATGTCAGGTTGTCTCCAAAGGCAGCAAAGATAAGCATGACTGACCACTTTTTCCATGGCATGCAGACAGATGCCAGAGWCTTGCCTCTCAGTGGTGCCTTCATTAGAGATATCCTATTTAAAACCCCTCTCTGACATTCAGACCCCGATAAACATGGGGTTATTATCAGGTGCCAGGCGTATGAGTTGTTCTGATTGTGACCTTGAGCTCGAGACAAAAACAAAGCTGAAGAAGTCACTTGTGTTGACTAGGTTTGCAGGGATTTAGGTCATATWTAAAATTGGTTTGGAGTTATTGGGATTTTTTGGATTGACTGTACAAACTAAAGCAGGACAAAGAAYATCACCTCTGACAAACACGTAGGCCGAATAGGTTTCATATCCAGACTTGGTRGAGACACGCAGGGTGTAGAGGCCCTCATCTTCTTTGTTGAGGTGTGTTAGAGTCAGTGTGGCTCTGTCTCCACTCCAGTGCATGTGGTTCCACTTAGAAGATGTCAGCAGAACATCTTACATACAGAACAGAAAAGGTGAATTTCTACTGGTGTGTGTGTGGGGTGGGGGTGCAAAGTACAAACATAAAGTTAAAAAGAGCTTCAGGAGTTGTCAACCTACCATCTCTGTACCACTGGATTTCTGGCTGGTAGCGGTGCAGGGCAGGGTAGATGATGACTGTACACCCCAGGCTCATAGTCTCCCCTTCTCTTCCAAATGACACCCCGAACGTATCAACAATGTGAATCTGGAAGGTGATGCCATACTCAGAAACTGGACCCACTAAAGACAAAGCAGTTAAGTCAGTGTTCTACTCTTTAGCATATTAACAGAAACAGACAGCAAATTCACACTTACGTCTGGGTGCTGGCAGTGACTCATCAATGTCACCTTTGAACCCTATGGGGAAAAAAACACTGTTACTATTTATACTTACAGTACACAGTATTGCATTACACTCAGGGTGGACTGAATGTACAGTATTAAATTATACGATGTGYGACATCAAATAAAGCAGCTTCAAAATGACTAACTTAAAGTCTTTTTAAAGTTGTTTCAAATCATTTTGTTATTTGTTTGTATATTTTTTGTTGGTATCTAGTAAAAAAAAAACCTACGTTTGACAACGACAGAAGCAAATGCAGACAGCTCTCCTTCTGAGTTCATGGCAGAGACACGGTACTGAGCCGTGTCGTCAAAATCACATCTGAAAGAGATCATCACCTGATCAATCATTATGCTGATTCTGTCACTTAAGGACTCGCAGATAAAATGTCCTTCTGTCACCTTAATCCCAACCTCTGCCCTCTTGACCATGCTTACAATACCAACTATGTGGGCCCCGACCCTAAAGCATTCAGAAAATGTGTGCCAGAAATAGTGTGGCAATAAATAGACGCTGCTGGTGATGTCATTTCCACAGGGTGATGTGGTGCTCTGTACCTGAATTTATCTGATGAGTGAAGTTCAGTAGCGAGAGAACAAACAATATATGAAGCATGGTTGGTTTTGTTGGATCAAAGTTTTCATATGAGCTGAACAATGTTTTGATTTATTATATCAGATAAAAACAAATACATATATTGACATCTTTAAGAAAAAAATGGGCTACGTATAATTCACATACCGTATAAATACAAGCATTTTGGAAAGTAAGGTGAACTGTTAGGTGCTTACAAGCCTTGTTATTTTCTTAGATTTGATTTTATTATTGGTACTGAATATTTACAGTTCTGTAATGACTAATGACAGTCTAGTGTTTAGCCTGCCTCTTGCACAGAGAATGCTGGAAAGAGGCACCATCTCCCAGCAACCCAGAAAAGAAAAGTGAGCAAAGAAAATGGAAAGATGAACATTTACAGTTTATCAAAGAYAATCTTGAGACTAGGAAAGTGAAGAAAGTACTTTAAACTAACATTGCTGACTGTCTTTGTTAGCCTACCAGTGCTTTAATGGCAACTCTATGTATTTCCAAAGACTAAACTAAGGATTATACAGGTACAAAAAAGTATTTTCATTCAGCTTCAAATAAAGTGAATACAGTTGGATTGGCTGCAAAGTTATTCCAAGTTCTGCAAAAGTCTTCATGATAAGAAAAAAAAAGGTAGCATGTAGAAAAAGAACTTACTTGTTGATTTCCAGCGAGTGCACATTGTATCTGCTCTCAAGTTTAAACTTGCCAGGGTGGGCAAGAGGGTCAATTGCCACATTGTTTTTGTACCTTTTGATTGAAGATAGAAAGGTGACAGTAGACAGAGGAAATGAAGCAGAAAGGATTTGAAGCTGATTTGAAAGTTTTGATCTGTGATGGAAAGATGTGACAGATAATGGTGACGTAGTGTTTGTGTGGCCTACCAGACGACCCTGGGGTCAGGCCAGCCGCTGACGGTGCAGTGCAGCCGCACACACTGCTTCTCCCACACAGTGTGGGAGCGAGGTTTAATCACAAACTCCGGGGGGTGCATCAGACTGTCTTCGTTCATGCGCTTGAAGTGCTCCTCGTGCTCATGGATCTAAACGTAGCAGATTKCAGCACTGAAGGTCACTTTTGTCACCAAATAAATATCTGAACCAAACAAAACATTGTTACGTCAACAAGTATTTACATTACATGCCTGCAGTTAATCAAAGATTTTGCAGCAAAATCCTTGTCTGTTTTGGTTTCACACATGCAGGACACACTGTATGCACTTTCTGCATGTGCTCCAAGTGTTTGTGTTTKGATTATAGCCTATGAATAGCCAAAGTGGGGGTGTAGCTGTACRCAGTCCAGATCATAATACGACAACACCACTGGGACACTGCTTCCATGTGTCTCCAGAAAAGCAACCTCCTCAGGAATTTATCACCCACTAGTAAGACTGTCTGGCAGAGGACAGATAAATGCAGCAAGGGAGGTAACTGTGGCTTCAATGAGGATTGTTAAATGGCAGKATACTACTTCACATAATCACCCATGAACATAAATAACTTCCTTGAGTAAAATGTTGTAATGAAAACCACTTATTTAAATGCACTTGGCCTTTCTAATACAACAACAAAAAAATGGCTTGGAAGCAAGGCAATAGGCAGACAAATGTGTTTTTTGTGTCTAAGACATTAATGTGTAGTTTTGTAAAAAAAAAAAAAAAAAAA